TTTTTTAATAACTATACATTCGGCATGGAAAAAGAGGGAAAATACAAAATGTCTTCTAATCGTACGAACGGGTGTTTGACTACTAAAACGAATGTCGCGTATTATCGACGATAATTTTCCACTTCGTTGTGAAGTTGCATTAGATACACGATTTTTGCCGCCTAAACGCTTTTTCACGTCGACGAGAATTCGGCGCAGAAAAAGGAGCAAACTGGCAATGTGCGAAATTATGATAAAATAAATTTCATGTAAGCCTTTCGAGCGTCTTTCGTGCGACGAATATGACGTTGTATGAAATTGTATGAAATGCATTCGCGAGCGGAGTTTTGGAAACGGCGAACGTGAGAATGAGAGCGAAAGAGGGAAGAAAGTGAGAAAGCACGGATGAGAGAAAGAGAGAGAGAGAGCACGCGAAAGGCGAGAGCGAGATCGACGAAAAAAAAAAAAGAAATCAAAGGGCATTTTGTTGTGCGCTCTGTGAATGAATGCGAGAGTGACGAAACGATCGCGATGCGTACGTGGTTCGTAGTTTTCGAACATGTGATACGTCAGCCGGCAAGCTCGATTTCCGGCCATCGACGAGGGGGAGAATTTCGGCCGTCTTCCGGCCGGCAAATCAAAAGGGGGACGCGGAAGTGTCGCCGGAGGTCGACGCTGGCTGGGTGGCGCACCTTTTGAAGGTTCTTTAAGGTAGGAACGCTCTTTTGTTGACGGTTGATTGTTGTCAAAATGGTTGTGAGGTATATTACTATTTGAAGTATGTTAACGATACGAGAGGAAAGGCGGACGAGACGGGCCGAACGGGAGACGCGGCGCGACCTTGATGAACTTGGAAGGAGGGGAGAGGGGATTCTAACGTTCAGAAGTTCCCTCAGGAAGGGTTCCTTAACCTCCAGCAAAGGGAACTGGCACCGCTATGGGAGGTATGCAAAAAATCCTTCCTTACTTGAAGTCGCTTCGCGCCGCTTCGCTCGCGAGGGCTCGGCATGGGGGAGACGAAAGATGGAAAACGTGCGCTCCACCCGATCTCGGGATTCCGCCGAGAGAGGCGAAATTAGTGGTAAATGCGAGCGTATAATGTGTACGCGACGCCCGCGATGTAAATTTGCTTTGACGTTGTTGATCGTTGCGTGTGAGTTCGTTACTAGTCCGTGAACGGCACGATTGCTTTATAATTCCGCAGCTGTAATTGATACGGTTGCGTCGAAAACCGCCCCCGAGTCGATTTCATTCCCGACCAAGTGTGTTGAGTTATCAAGTTTTATTTAGAGAAATGAAAGAAGCCGTAATCATCATTGTTCGTGCGATGAAACGTGAATTAGACAATACAAAAACAATCGTATCTTCTTGGAAAAGTTTTAACTAAAGCTAGTTGATTCGTCTTTCTTTATTTAACTCTTTTTAAATTGAGGCAACTCTTAATTAATCGTTTAATCACTTAATCGCCTCGAATAAGGCACTTTTAGAATCTGTAATTAAATTAAAGTCTTCTTATATCTTTATTTTAATAACAATGTATGCCCATGAATTGCATAGACGGAATTTAATATTTTAATAAAACGTATACGCCTCAGTATTTCTTAACATTGCTTAGATTTAGCGTATAATTTTTCTGTATGTAGAAAATTATATGTTAAATTATATTTATATATGAAAAATTTACCATTGCGGAAAGAGATAAAAAAAGAAAGTGCGAGCGACGAAGGCCAATGAAAGGGAAAGATGCGTTTTCGCGCAGCGCGCGATTTCCTATAAATTGTTACTGTTAATTATTATCAATTGTCGCGTGATTAAGACGAATTAGAACGCCAAAGGAGGCCGTGAGCGCCTGATCTAGCGAATTATTCCGTGAGCGCACGTTTTCCTTGCGTAAAGACGAACGCGATGTACCGTTTCGTCTCCGAAAAAGAAGCGTACAACTGGCATTACATTATACGCGGAGTCTGGTCCGAGTATGTAAGCGCCGACGACGAGAAATCGGCGACGACAAGAGAGTCGCGGCGCACCGTCCCGCGTTCCCTCGGGGAAACTGTTCTGAGGGAGCGCAGACGCACCCGTCGGCTCGACCAGGCTCGGCGGAAAGAAACATGAGACTGATATAAACCAGTATTCGTGCGAGAAATTGCAAATTGCGAGAAATTGCGCGGCGTAGCCTTAATAAGAAAGATTAATTAGGTTTATTCGGCGACCGATGGCGTCGGTCCCGCGAAAAAAAATCATATTCAATTGGCTGTACAAGCGGAAAAGGGGATAAGTAGGAAAAGAAAAAAAAGAAATACCTCTCGTCGCGAGGGTTGACGCGTCGGGTGGATCGAAATATCGTGACCGTTGTAGACGTCGTCCGCCCTCGCACGGCGATGTATCTAGTGAGAGTATAATGTTATTAGGTAAACTTAAGCGTACTTTAAAAGCGAAGTGCGGAAGGAGAGAACGGAACGCAATGCCAGTTGTAAAATGGGATAGGTCGGGGATAGGGGAAAGAGGAGGAGGGGGGTAATAACGCGAGAAGAACGTGTTCCGATAACGCGCGAGACTTGTCCCCAGTGATAACAAAAGGGATATTCGCGGGAGGGAAAGATAGGACGAAAGGAAAGACACGGGAAAAACGGCACCGAGATCGGGGGCGGGAGGGTAACAAAGCGAAATGCTAGGTAAATAACGGGACACGAGAAAAGTAAAAAGCGATATGTATACATATAATCGCGATATATATATATATATACATATATATGTAAATATATCTATATAAAAAATATATATATATTTATGTATGTGTGTATGTATATTTTATTAAATGGCGTAAACGCGTATTTAACTTTCGGTACGGGATTATCGTTCTTTCGTTTTTTCCCTTTTCACTGTTGTTTGTTTTTCGTTTGTCATTCTTCGCGGTACCGTTTTTTCGGGGGATACCCTGTCAACGCGTTCCGCGAGATACGATTCGAGTGTACACACTCGCACACACGCAATGCTGTTTCATGTGTATACGCGATAGAACTATTTCGGAATACGGTTGCGGGGGAGGGACAAAAGGGAAATAGAGAAACGACAGCTTTATACCGATAGCGGGACAGTAGTTATTTGCAACACGTGCACACACACGTATGACACACACGCATACACATGTAAAGCGATCCAAGCGATACACACAAAAAAAATTGTATGAATATAACGTTTGCAGTTAGGTGGGACCAAAAACGACTTTATATCTCTATGTGCATATCCAAGCAACGTGTAATTTAATTAATGAATTAATTAATTATCCATTATTAATGACTAGGTAAAGTAAAAGATCCATTGATAGCAATCGAGAACGATGACGAATGATTAACGAGTAATTAGCCTATTAAGTTTGTTTATTGATACATTATTCTATGATATAATTATTATTATTATTAACTTTATTGCCTTTATTATTATTATTTTATTATTACATTAATTGAAATGACGATGATAATATTATTTAAACAATGTTTTAAGGCGATTATCTAGATATCGAGTAGAGAACACAGTACGTATCTATAATTATTAATTATTTTTAATTATTATTATATTCTTATTATTATTATATTATTATTATGAGACATTTTGTTGTATTATTTTCAATAAAATCGATTGAAAAATATTCAGTTTACCAATTGGTTAATTCTCGCTTCTCCGCATGTATCACGCAACTGCATGTTCCCAATTTCTTTCTCGCCTCAATTGCGACAATGCAATTACGTTTAAAGTCAAAAGTAATTTGTAAGTGAGCAAGATAACGAAAGAAATTGAAACATCTCATTGTTCATACACGGGGAAGCGCGCCTTATCCCAATGTCCGTTGCGATCTCAAAAAGAGCATTGTTTGCGATTGCGAAAGTTTTCTAAAATTAATAGAGGTTTCTGAGTGCATTAACGAAAATAAAAAATTGCTAAATTTTTTAGTCGATTTAGATCTTTTTTTCTAATTAATGTGTTTTTCAGTTGTTCTCTATAGAGAGTATTTCATTACATAAAAGAATATAAATGACTGATAAAATATATTAATGTAATGTAATAACTAACAGCAAAACAGAAGAGATAAGAATTTGTCTGATGTAATAATTGATAAATCACTGAGAAGCAGTAAATTGTTGCAAATTAAGAGATACAAATTGTACGTTTTAATTAAGAATACTGTTTTTCAACAATAATTAGAATTTTTTAATGTCTTTAAAACCTGTATCTTTAGAATATATTGCACTTATTTGTCGAAATAATTTTGCAATATTCTGTAGGAATGGAAATTTCGCAAGAACTCTGATTCTCTTAGAAAACTTGATGCGCAGTGAGCGAAGTCATGATATTTGCGATCGTAACTGTCACCATCTATGTATATGTACTTACATTCACTTATTTTACTTTAATTCAGCGTTAATTAATTCCATTAACCGCGTCTGTATACGATTATCTCTCCGCTACCCTCCGACCACCCAATCCTTCAAATCTCTCCTCTTCGTACCTCTCTATCCCTCTTACTCTCACGTGTCTCCGGATAATTTTCGTGACCCGGTAAGAGCGGGGGGGAAGATGGAATATAAACCAAAAGTGAAATGTGAAACGGGGAATGCGAGGTAAAACGGGGGTAGAATGAATTTAACAAAGAGAAAGTCAGAGAGCGTATTATTATGGGACAAAAAAAAAGAGAAATAGGAGAACCAAATGATGGAAGAGAAGAAGAAGCCACGGAACAATAGACAAATGAAGATAAAAAAAATAGTTGTAAAAGCCACACACGTAAAAAAGCGCGTACACATACATACATACACGTACACACAAAAAAGGAAAACACAAATGTACTAAGTAAGTTCATACTGCGTATTGCCTTTCTGACTTCGGTGTGAAAATATATAAATAAAAAAAAAGTCAGTCGCGCCGGGGCACGCGTATGTTCGCGCATACATATTATATATTATAGTTATTAGCGTTCGACGAGAGAGACGAGGACTAGCTGCTTCCGCTTCTTCCTGCCAGCCCACATTGTACCTTCCTCTTCCTCGATTCTTTTATTGAGAACTCTTCAACAAGTTAAAAAAAAAAGAAAAACACTTTACAAGAGAAGATCGGCGACTTCCGGCTTTATGTCCGATCGAAGTTGCATCCCTTTCCTTCCTCTTATTTTTTACGAGTTCTCTTAAGATTCGTATTTAAAAAGAGACTCGCTATGTTTCCGGTTGATTAATTCCCGCTTGTTCGCGTCCCCGGGGCAGGCGGACGCGGAAGCAGCGGACGGCAGTATCCGTCGCGAAAACTTTTTTCACGGTTCCGTAAGAAAAAGTCCCACGCCGAAGTCCGCGCGTCCCCGCCGACTGTGTCTGTTTCATGTTTTTCAATATTTGTAATTTATCGATAAAATTATAAAAGGTATCGATACATAACAGTCTAAAGTGTGCGCTACTCTACATAATAATATTATATATAAAAAGTATAAAAGTATACATTATATATATATTATATATATATACATATATATTATATATGAAAGGTATAATATATATATATTATACATACATTGGGATTGGTGAGAATATACGGTTTTTTCGCTTTGGAGTGTTATTTTCTGAAAATATTGAACAAAATATGGAAAAAAAATTAATAAAACCAATGAGTAAAAACAAAATGTAATATTTTTTTTTCGTTCTCACCCGATGTACGACACGTCGTCAGCGACAGGCAATTCTCTGTTGGATTTTGCGATTGCATTCATATCGCGTGAATGCACAAGTGTGAATATCTAATGCAAATAACTTTATATGACGTGTAACATTTCGCTTTTAATTCATAATATATGAAACCGTCCAATATATTAGATTCTGAAAAAGATTCAGTATTTTGAAGAAGAACATAATGAATTCATTAGCAAGGATAAAATAAGGTTGTTTAATATACATTTAATATTTAATATTAGTTCAAAATGTTTAATTTTCATGGATTTAGGTAGTATCTTGTTAAGTTTCTGAAATCAATATATGAACATTACCATCATATATGTTTACTTTATACATATCAGAAGTTTATTGATTATTATTAACGAAAATATTACTATATTGTAATAATAGTAATAATTTTATAAAAACTTTGTTTTTCCATATAATGTTTATCATTGAAAGTACAGATGTCCGAAAGAATTATGTACATGCTGACTCTTCCGAGCACTTTCAACAGTCTCGTTGAGAAGACAGTGAAGATCGAAACGGAGGAACCACAATATGTCATCGAGTTGGTGAAATTTTAGACATAAAAGTTATTCGAACTTAACAAACTTGATAAAAATGGAATTATGAGATATTGAATATTTAATAAATGTACAGATTGCTAGGTGATCTTTTGGGAGTTAAAGACTACAAGACTAATAAAGCTGCTTTCTGGTTTTTGGACATCGTAGCTCTTCAAGTTCTGCGTTACAAAAATTGTCTAGATGATCATTATAGAAGTATATTAATTAGCTGGTTGGTTGGCGAAATGAAATTAATTCGAGGTGATTATTATCGAATTGATATATGTTAAATAAAATATTTTGGTGGTGCTACGATATAAATGGTGCTTGGTAAAATATTTTTTACATGCAGAGAGACTATTTAAAAAGAAATATAATGTTCTTATATAAATAGATTTGCCAAAATAAAGATTTATATCTATTTATATACGTTTATCTGAATTTTTACATAGCATACATAATTAAGTAAAATAGGAAATTTTATACATGGTATAATGAATTAGTAAAAATATATTTTTTAGAAACATAGAATATTTTTGTAGATAAGAAGTTACTTCGAGAAGACTTTTTTAAAGAAATGAGAATATTATTTCTCTATGTTGCTGAGAAATTATTCAATAACGATCGATTGCTGCATTGGGAGTTACTTATGGATGCATATTCTGAAATTATGTCACAAAATTTTACCACTGATGCATCTGCCAACAGTGAAGCGGGAAATTTAATTACGAATAAATTATCTGAAAAGGAATTAATTACAGAAGATGCCAAATATATGTCTCAAGAGAACAAATTTTCTTTTATCGGAAGAGACTTGACAAATTGTAATAATGGAAACAGGTAAATTGAAGAAAGTAAAATCCTTCATTATCATGAGTCACACACTTTACATTACTTTATTGTGCCGTTTTTTTTAAGTAAGTTAAATAAAGATTCTTATTTTAGTGTAACAAATGATTTGCAAGAGGAGTTACCGACAAACTTTGAAACTTCATCAACTACAGAAAATTCACAAAAAGATATATTCACAGATACAAACGCAATCGGATCTTCTAATTTAACGAATCCAAGCGACATCCTGGATATAATTGTTGAAGCAACATACAATATGTACGTATAAGAAAATACAACACATTATTTCAAATATTTTTCAATATTTAAAAAAAAGATAATATACAATGTAAGATTTCATCGTTGTTCAATTTTTAAATAGGTATGCTAATGAATTGCGATATTCCCTTATATATGCAGTTTTTGTAAAACCAATACAGATACAAATCTTTCATATGCCTCATACTTTTCGAGTACCACGTCAAATTAAACTGGCGGATCCTGGAGGATTATTTGACATACAGCTTCGCGAACGATTGGAAAAGGTTGCTAGTGAATCAATAATTAGCAATGGCAAAAAATTTAAAGGTAAATAGCGTAATAAAGCAATTATGAATTTAGTTATTCGATACGATATAATGATGCAAAAATATATCTTTTTATATTTTATTGCAATTATAATAATATGCTTATTTTTTATTTTGTTACGCAGTCGTGCGTAGTATAATTCCGCCATGTTTACATGATAATTAAAAACTGATAAATTTTTCGTTTTCAGAAAAGAAAATGACTGATGATATAAGAAAAGGAAAAATAATTAAAGATGTAGACATGGAAATTCCTCCGACACCACCACCTTCGTTAAACGAGGAAGAAATGTTAGCTAATAATCGTCGATTTATTCTACCATTGATAGAAGCGAACGAAGCGGCACAGATCTATGAAATGCATGCAGAGAACGTGTAATGTGATAATACGAACATCAGACTGAAAGAATATTTTATTTCGTCTTGTCCAATAATTTAAAGTACAATATGTTATTCTGTGATTATCGCCGTGCCCCATTCGCGACATTTGAATTTTTTCACTGTTTTAGGATCTAGCGATTGAATGTCCAATTTGACAAAATTATACGAATTTTCCAAGTTCCGTTGAAGTTTTCCTAGTTGACCGTACTTGTTAGAGCCACAGCCCCAAAAGAAACCGTCGTCTGAAGAAAAAACAAACGTCATTTTTTCTTCTAGGAAATACAACCTTTATTAAAATTTTTGCGTCTGTGTGTGAAGATTTATTTTTACCTGTTAAGCATATAGTAAAAGAATTTCCGCATTCGACTTTTTTAACATTAATTTCTATATTCTCTCCACTGTCGTTTTTAAAATCTACTAAAGTTGGAACGGCGTGAACTTTTTTGTCCTTGCTTTCAATTCCTAGTTCACCATTTGAATTCCATCCCCAAGTATAGAGATCGCCCTATTATTTGAAAATTAATTTTACTTACATTTAATGTTAGATGTCAATTAAACTAGTTTTTTTACACTAACCTGATCAGTGACTGCGGCGGTATGCCAACCACCTGCTGATATTTGTATTACTTTCAGACCTGCCAAGGCTTCAATAAGTTTCGGATTATCACAGTTTTCTAAATCACTGTGTCCTAATTGACCACGTCTACCATTGTGAATTATAATATAATTATTTCATTTATTAAATAACATAAACTTAATAAGAACATGTTTGCATATGTAACATACATTCCCATCCCCATTGAGTAAACATCGCCATTCTCAGCCAGTAAAATAGTATGGTCAAAACCACAGGCAAGATCAACAAACTTGACTCTCTTTGGCATTTCAACCAAAAGCGGGGCATTAAATACGCGTCCTTAAAAAGTAGAAAAACTTGAGTAAAAATACATTTAATTAAAACACGATGTAATCTTTAAGCTGAGTATTTCTTATTACATACCTAAATTAGTTAAAACTACTGTACATCCTGCTTGTGACAGTTTGATGGCGTGTTCAGTCTGCATGTCGTCATTGCTGGGAATAAACGGTGTTACTTTTTGCCAAGAGTCGTCATATATTTTATATTTCCAGATTTCATTGCGTGTGGACAAAACAACTACACTATCCCGACCAGGAGCAGCTAGTTCACAGCTATATTGAAAAATGAAATATTTATACAAAAAATTTATAAATAAAAAATATTTATTAAAATCTGTAAAGAAGAAAAAAGCAGATATTTTGTGTTTATTGCCTTCCCGACGATTCCTCTGGTATCTGCATTAAATGTGGCCTGTTTCTGTCATCTTTCTCACTGATTTTACCCGTGATATATAATTTTGTATCTTGCCACAGAAGAAAGTAATTCCACCCAATCTCAATGTCTGTGATTCCAGGAAGTGGAATTTGAGTAAAATGCGATATCGATGTGACAATCCCATCCTGGTTTGAAAACAGTGGACTGGCATTTAAGCCGGCATAATACACCGGCATGTCTCTGTAAATAATAAAAATATAACATCATTTTTTATTATTACAAATATAATGTCCTACTTTATTATTAATTTCTTATTATTAAAATTCTGTTATCACTTTCAACTTTAGATAATTAAATTATCTAAATTATCTGATAAACTATTTAAATAATAAATAATCTCATCATTGAGGCATAATTAAAAAAACAATATGCTTTTTATCAAAAAGAATAGAAGTACACAATAAATAAATGAAATATATAATAGGTAAAACAGTAAAGTATTCATTTATCTACTGTCGTAAGCAATATATATATCAGTATTCACACGTGGTAACCGAACTGTAGCTTCTTCCGACGGTATCAAATGCGTTGATCGGCAAGTAACATCAGTCAGAATGTGCAGATGTCACCGTTCTCCTTGGATACCAGGAAAACAACACAATCTGATATAACGTAATGGAAATCGTCGAGATAACGCAGTAAATAGTTAACACGTCTTCGTTCCAGGTTCCAGTACCTGAAATATATATCAACAAGAAGATGGTAAAAAATGTCAAGTGAATTAAATCCTAATGCACTATTATGCACTCTTTTCTTTCCCTCCCCACCACCGCCTGATACACTATTGATTGCACGAAATAATCGAAACATAACCTGCGAAGATTTTATTGCAGCATACAAAATTTATACCAAAACGCTACATAGAAAGTTGAGAATTGCAAAATACATCGTTGAATAAGATAAACAAATTTTTATCAACTTTTAATGTACAAAAATTCACTTATACTTTCTGCGCACCTTTACATATCTCTCTTCACACTCGGAATCTCAGAATGACATTGCGGGCTATATTCTCGTCGTCATAACTCGTACACATTCAACAATTCAACTAGAAAAAGGGAATTATCTTTTTGGAATTGCATGCACTGATTACACGAAATTCAAAATATTTATATACACGAGAACGTTGTTTTTCGTGATCGCAAAATTCTTCATTTTTTTAATAACATAATAAAATAATATGAATATAAATTTATATTTATAAATAGTATGCTAAGGAAATACACAAAATTGCATTTATTTATTCTCTATATGAAATAGATATTTCAAAGTAGAATTTCTAAGCTTTCGCGAGATCATGAGTGCAATATAATAAATAATGCAGATCTTTTTCTTCTTTTTTTATATCAATTTACTATAATTTTGTCAGGGTCTGCTTGCTATCTTACGAAAATTGCGATCAAGTCCTGATAAAGAGCTTCGATTGTTGCTGTTGGGTCTGGATAATGCCGGAAAGACGACTATCTTGAAGTCTTTGGCAAGCGAAGATATCACGCAAGTAAACCTGCTTTGTTCTTAATTTCCATAATAAGAAAAATCATGCAATATACATATACATATAATAAACTGATTTTATTAAGGTGACTCCAACACAAGGTTTTAATATAAAAAGTGTCCAAAGCGAAGGTTTCAAATTGAACGTTTGGGATATTGGTGGAGCTCGAAAAATTCGACCTTATTGGCGAAATTATTTCGAGAACACGGATGTACTTGTAAGTCTTTATTACTCTTAAACTTTATTTTGTTTTGTTACTATTTAATAATATAATTTTTACATGACATTTTTTGACAATAATGAATTACAGTAAATTATTTTATTGCAAAATTTAATATGAAAAATATAATAAAAGAAAAGTAATTTGTGTTGCTCTCTATGCCATAACTTAATTATTATTTTAATAATCAGAAGCAGTCATGTGTGTTACCTAAAATTTTTGGAAACTAGAATTATGTATTTTTAAATATTGCAAAATTCTATAAATGTAATAATTATAACGATACAATTTCAATAAAGAGCATTTTATGCTTTCTGTAATTGTCGATTTTATTTAACAAATGTTACAAATTAATTATTATTACATTCAAGAAGTGTCTATTACTTCTGTGTGTTTATTAATAAAGATAATTTTATTTTAAGATTTGTGCAGATATTTTAGACTCGTATCTTTCTTCCTAGGTAAAAATAAAATTAAAGTTTCGTAATGTTTGTTGGCAATAGATTTACGTCGTTGACAGTGCAGACATCAAAAGGCTGGAGGAAACGGGACAGGAATTGTCAGAACTTTTACTCGAAGAAAAGCTGCGCGGAGTTCCATTGTTAGTATATGCGAATAAACAGGACCTGGGACACGCCGTGACGGCAGCCGAGATAGCGGAAGGGCTCGGTTTACACAACATCAAAGACCGTGATTGGCAAATACAATCGTGCATCGCTGTCGAGGGCAAGGGCGTGAAGGTATGTAGCAATATTGCTCTTAAATTTTAAAATGTGATATAATATTTATGTGCATAATTATCATTTTATCATTAATACTTGTCATATTTTAGTATATTGTACAATATATATCTAGACTGCTAAAAATGATTCTAGAAATGTAAAAATAATGATTTTAAAAATAAAATTTTAAATTTACATTAATGTACAATTTTATGGAAATATATGTATATATATTTATTGATATTATTATTTGCAATTTTTATAAATAAGTTCTCTATTTTCAGGAAGGTTTAGAGTGGGCATGCAAGAACATTAAAAGGAAGTAATAAGCACATCATGCAAATCGAGAGAGACACGGTCGACGTTTGCCACCCTAGGGCGCACGAAAGGAACAGGCTTACACCATCCCCATTGTACATTTTACACATGATCTTTATTTATTATATCTTTTAACTACTATTTACAAAAAGTTACTGAGAACAATTGTTGTTTGTGGATTCGATATGAATAACGTACGAATGTCGAACGTGAGTCTTTACAAACCCGTCGTCATATCGAACATATCCAGTTGTCGGACTTCCGTCCATTTCGGACTCGAGAAGTTCTATTTTTCGCATAAAAGAGAGTGTAATAGCGAGTCCATAAAATATATACTGCAAACTAACGTGCCTTCTTGATGTTTTAACTATAATAGATTAGATTTTTTTATAGATTTGTCTAGTAAGAACTAATAAAGAGAGATGGAACAAGAGGAAAGAGACACGACGTGTAATTTATATAGATACAATTATTAATACAATATTTGTACTTATACGTATGATATAGATATTTGAGCACCACGTGTTATTGCACTCGCGAAGAAAAATCGCGAGGACACGCTAAAGCATAATGTGCAGCATGCACAAAGTACCCATGACTGCACTTTCTTTTATCTAAATCGACAAATATTATATTATATTATAGCAATTGTAAAAAGAATTGCAATTTGAATAATGCTGCGAGGTTTCAACAGCTCCTCATTAGAGATGATTAAAATCTGTACCAAATATTATTTTCGTACAATGCGCGGTTATTGGATCCGTGCTGCAATTTTGTACCAGAATGACATTGATAATTTTATATGACATTGATAATTAATTTAAAATACCTTTTAAATTTCTCTTAATGACGTTTGAATATAGAAGTAAATTTTTTGATATTTAAGAAATTCAATTTTATCTCGTAATATTTTATAATTAACTAAAGTATTTGTCACATTGGTGGCCCAGTTACTTTTGATATAAAATATCAGAGAAATGACGTGTTTATATTATTATAAATGATCTTAAAATCTTAACCGTCCATCTTTCAAGATGAAAATATCGCGTGATGTTTTTGTCTTCCACACGAATGAGGTCATTGCGGTTTGTAATAATTAAAGCATCACATATTTTTATTAATATGATACGTGTGATAAAATTCTGATACTAATTTGTTTCTTAAAAGAAAAAATATTATAGTTAAAAATGTCATTAAACAGTATCAATCTCATTTTGTAATGTCATTAAGAGAAGCTAAACTTAGCGCAGTTTTTTAAAATGTAATTTTTAACTTAAATGTAATCATTGTTTAAAATGTCGAAAAAGTTGGATTGCCTTTTGCATATATTGTATGCTTTTTTTGAGACTCTTGGTTCTTGAGCACGAACTTATTTGTAAATAATACAAAGATAAAAAAAATGTGGTTTGAATCAGTAGACCACATTAGACACTCATGAGATAAGAACGTCTTTTAGATATCTTCACGGCATCTTCTAAGCGTTTCTCTGGTTACGTTTTATTAACATTTAATATTTAAAATTGATGTTTTATAACATCTTTGTTTGTACATGCAAAGAAAATGTAGAAACACTCCTTAATAATCTAGTCGCTTCTGTCAAATTGATTCCGCCGCAATTATCATTGCAATTTCGTTAGGCGCATTTTATTTTTGTGCAATAAATATGTTAGAATTATGGAATAAATAAGAACACGGCTTCGCGGCACATTCTTTTAATCTTAGAGGCGACTTAGCAATTAATGTCTTTCACAGATCGCTGTCGAGCTAAACTCAAAGTTCGCTATGAATGTTTTCCGTAGTTACTCTGATCTCCTCTTCATGGAAAGCGGTGCAGTCTGCTGGGTATTTGCTCTGAAAGCAAAACGAAAAAAAGATACACAAGTCGTTAATTACTAATAATTAAGATAATAAATAAGACAACGCGAGAAACCAATAGAACAAATACAGATATTTTTATTAAGCAAAGATCTTTGTTAACTATCTTTCTTTCTCTCTGTCTCGGTTGTTTTAATTAAAATTAATTACAAAAAATTTTATTAGTTTTTATTTACGTTAGACTGAAATATATTTCTTTTTTGTTGACGGATTATAGTTTACTCACAATGCATCCCTCATGCTCCATGATGGCTCCGTAGAGGGGCCAGAAATTAGTTCCTAACTTATTACTGACTGCCCAAGCCGCGGGGAAACTTGCTACCCTCAGCAATTTGTTGCGTACACGTTCAAATAGCTCATTGCTGGCGTCTTCACGTTGCTGACTCTTCTCATTTATGGTACATAAGATTTGACTAGCACATTGCGGCATCTTCGTCGCCCATTTGTACGCACGATACGACTGAAAATAAATGAATACGCTAATATTTATGAAAAATCGAAATTTAATACAAATTTAAGTTTTATATAAGTTATATGAAAAGATTATGATCCTCGAGATTAGAGGTTCCCAACCTTTTTTGTCAAGAGGATAATAATTATTGTCTTGTAACTGTATAAAAAAAGTATTTACCTTGAGAATAGGGCCGATGAAATCATTGTTAATGATATCGGTTAGTCTGTTGCTTAGCTCTCGTGCATTTACGCGGGACATGATAAATCCTTTTTCGGAGGCCAAGCTCATTAATTCCTGGAAATAGGATATCGCCGGCCTTACGTACTGCGAGCTGTCGACGTTCATGTTTAGGTATCTCTTCGCTATCCCATTTGCTAATCTGGGTGAGAAATTTTACGTTAGTTGTGTTACAAACACTTGGAAAAATAGAGAATTATAAAATTAAACATCACACTAACCTGGAGATACTCTCCGCTGGTTTTGTGGCATCGAACATCAATGTTTTTGGAAATCCCTGAGACTTTAGAAAGCTATTACCGACGAATTGTATGGTCGTGAGATAACGTTGTTGATTTACCGGATCAGAAACGTGAGAGATCCATTCGGCCACAAAATTCGTGAGCGATCTGATCCACCTTCGACGTATAGCAGGATGTTCAAAACTGTCCAGGATCTTCTCCCAGAGGATATTGCCTTTCTCGTCCGTCATTTGAGCAATTACTTTTGATAGACCGCTGTTCTTCCATAACGTTTGCCCAAGTTCCGAATTACTAAAGTACAGAAAAGAATTTTTAGTTACAGCAAAAAGGGAGTTACAGAAAAATTATCGACGATCAAATACATTTATGAAAATTAAGTCATTTCTAATATTTTTAAATTCTTCTTCAAGATATATTAATCTGATCAATCTTGCTGATCTTTAATTAGTTTTAACAGCGTAATCCTGTTGGAAAAATTTCTTTGAATTTTTCACATAATATCTTCCAGAACTTTTATATTTTTATAACTTTTTAGAACATTTTTCATTTGTTTAATATAAAATTGGAGTTCTTAAGAAATGCCGAGAAAATCTATATTTTTCTAGAAATCTTTATTTATATAAATTCGGAAAATTTTAAAAAAATTTATAAAATTTGAAGGTACTTTTTTAGAAACTTTTATAAATTTAAAATATGAAAAATTCTTAAAAATATTATAAGATACTATTATATAGGATTTCTTTCACCGGGGAAGATTAATGTTTATAATGTCCATCACGCGTACGTTTTTATTATGTAGTTAGCGTACTACCTGAAATGCTCCCACATGACGTGAATGTTCTCCAATACTGGTGGCAAGAACCAGGAGTGCCCAGAGTGATCTTTATTCCCGGCATCGTTGTCATTCATTCCGTGACCTAGGGCATCTAGAAGCATTGGCACAAGACCCATTGCCATGTCGCTGTTTGCATTTTGCTGGAAGAACATGCTGCCCATGTTGACTATGCTCGCCCAGTCTATACCGGAATCCTCGTTGTGTTCCGAGTCTCTCGTCGATCTCTTACCAGTATTCAAGGCGCTCAGAATTGAGCCCACCATTGATAAATCGAAACCTTGATTATTTTGTCCACCTGACATCAAGCTACTCAGCCCGGAGATGAGCTGGCCGACATCGTCCGCCGCGGATCTTTTTTCGAATATCATGTCGCGGACCTATTAATTTCTCATACTTTATATTTGAATCTTCCAACGATTGTTTTGTAGGCATTAAAAGAAATTGAAAGGACAATTTTAAGTAAAATTAGTTATTCTTATTTTAAATATTTAAATATTTTATGAAGAAAATTTTTGTCATATTTAGATATAATGAAAAGAATATCAAGGGGAGAAGTCGGTGAGAGATTAAATAAATCGAAATTGAATTGGGTAATTCTCTGAAGAGTACACGAATTTTCGTCATACTTGCTTGGCGGAATCTGACTGCGCAAAAGTCTGGGCCATGTCTTGGAGCGACTTCTGGGAAAAGAGGTTTTTAGCTTCCTCGATGAAGACGCTGGACGCATCGTCCTCATTATTCTTCTCGGAACTCGCCAGCCCGACTAGTACCAATAGGAGCGACGTCCTCGACAACCACATCCTTCCGTTTCTGTAACACAACATTTGGTTAGCGCGACGTTATTCGACGATATTCCTGCTGAGTAATCATCGAGGACTCGATGCCGCAATTGCATTTCTCCGCAATTTAATGACGTACAATTACAACGAGGCCTCGTTTGCCTCTTGATTTAAAACAGAGTTTCCTCGAAACGTGTCGTTGACCTTAATGGCGGATCCTGATTCTGGAGTTATTTTTAGGAGAAGAGAAGCCTTGTGCGAGGTTGTTGTCGCGAGGATTTTTTTTTAAAACGCGGGCGACATATACCGGAAACGTTTCGGCTCGTGGCCACTCGGATATACCGTTGTTTCTATAGCTGCGTCACCGGTGTTAGTGTATGCGCGCGTATTTCGCAAGACATACGAAAGCGTTGATGACGAATGCGTTGAGTCAACACGTAAAAGAAATGCGAATGAGTAAATATTAAAAAGTTAAATTGTGCAATTATATCGTTATGTACGATGCACAATAAATATATGGAGCAAAATTACACATGTGCGTACAATGCACAATATACATATATATGGAGCAATTACACATTACCGAGTATCTTCTATACAATAAAAGCTTGTAACAAGCTCGGTATCGATCTGTTTTTGACTGTATTTATTTAATAAATATATTTTTTGTAATTTTTTGATAATATTTGAATCAAATATGCACATATTTTTTTCTTTTATAATTTATTAACATTTATGTAATTCAAAGAATATAAAGATAAATATAGAAAATATGAATTAATTAGATCAATTAAATAGGCAGAAGAATCCAAGCTTTTATTTAGTCTACTAACACAATTCTAATTCGTTTTTAGTAACGAGCACACATTATCGCTTATCATTATCAAGTATCCTTGAGGATCAGAATCGTAGCAACTGTCACAAACGAAGACAATGACGATAAATGATTGGTGCAACGCCAGTGTGTACTAACGCTCAATTTGAGTACCGTAAACCGCATGAAATTGACATTCTCCAGTTGGAATAACGATTCGGTCTAACGGTATGGACTGTTAGTCATCGTTATCCCCAACGCGTCGAAGTCGTGAATGATAAGTCGAAAGAATAAACAGTCGATTCGACTGTCACATCTCCCGATTAACATATTTTAATATTGTGTAACGTTGACAAATAAAATAAGTAGTAAATGATCTGGAAGTAGAATAAGAGACAGCAAGTTTATTACACACTATTTATTATTATATTATAAATTGCTTATTTATGACTATCATCAAACATTAATATTTTTACAAAGTTAAAAGAAACAATTAAAAATATGAAACTTCTTAATTTTCTAGATTTTCTTCAGTGTGTTATCTTAATTTCTTTTGTAATTTAAATTTTAAATAATTTTTAATATTTATAAAGTCACAGAGCCTGACATCAAGTTTAGTTATTCTGCAAATTATGTAGGAAAGAATATTAGAATGTATAATCTACATTATTATTGAACACGAAATCAGAAAATTTACACTAAAATGCGATGTATTTCTTTGCAAGAAGAAGAAGTAAAAAAAGTGAATGGAAGTTATCTCGCTTTTAATTTAAATTAATTGTCTGTCACATTTTTAGTAATCATCTTTGACAGCCGCGTAAAAAGTAAGAAACACGGAAGCTACCTCGTTCTCAGATTGTCGAGAGGGAAAGCGCGTGCGGGATTTTTGCAATGTCGTCGCAGACGTAGCACGTGATCAAGAAGAAGGTGCAATGACCGCCTTACTCATGAAATTAAAATCGTACAGTTGCACATTTTTTTTCCGTACAATAAGTTGATTATCCATAAGCGGATGTCAGCGATTTGACGGCATGATATTCTTGCTTCGGAAGCAACTTATATACTTTTTTAAAATTATGGCGGCATATTTGTGACGAATCTCGCCGAAAATTCCGTGTAAATTATTGCAGTAACTTTAATATAACGGTATAATTTATATAGAGAATAGTCTGAAATTTATAATCACGATTTTATCATCAGAAAGAAAGCTATTTCTATAATTAATATGACGTTATAAGTTAAAGTAATTATGAAATAATTGAGAAAGCTATTGATACTGGCTTATTTGTTTTCACGTTATGTTAACTGTAAGTATTTTGCTACTTATTAATTGACGAAAACTGTTATGTTCTTGCGTAAATGAATGTTATCGATCGTTTGCTTCCTTAACATCCGCATTTTTAATATACGTAATTATAGATAGACTATTGTTAATTTTACATTAAAAAATTAGTAACATAGATATTGGCATCTTGATATTTAAAGAGAAAAAATTAATAGCTTAGAATACAAATTTTGCTAAAAATTATTTCGATTTTCCACGAGAAATGTCGCTAGAATACGGTTGTAAAATACAATTATACGAGGTCGCTACGTTATCTACGTTTGCAGTTGTATTTGCATTTATAAATAAGTCGATTTTTAGCAAATGAAATTATTCAGGTATTTAAAAAATGCAAGTACAGCGACTCGCATATCGTTGCACCGATAGGAGAAGACCTTGGATGACTAAGACTGTAAAAGGTATCGCCAAAGCATTAGGCACGTTTATCGTAAATGATAGCGATAGGTGACTAAAAAATGTTTAAAATTTCGAGTGCGTTCTCTTGTAATACGCTTTGTCGTATAGCTATAAACATTGTCGGTTACATGATCGAATTTTACAACTTTAAGCAGAACTATACGCTATTCACAAGCACCGATTATATTTTTGTGACAAACGATAAAACAAGCTGTTCTCATTTTGACATAAAAAAGTTAGCGGAGGAAGTTATTTTTTATGCATTTTAAATTACGTATTATCATTTTATGGTCTTTTTCAGTTTTTCTCAAATTTTCTCATTTACTATATATATTAAATTTATGAATAAATATAAATATAAAGAAATATATATACAAATCTATTTGTGTATATAAAAGCATTTACATTCCAGTATGCCAGAGATTACCCTTTTTACCGTGTGTTAGTTCAAGTTCAAGCACGTGAGACGTCCTTTCTCTTACGCATAGCCATGTCGAGGCGGCGGAACAGTTACTTAACATCTCGGATATAGTCAGTCAGCTCGTAAACTTCGCCGATGTGATCAGCAAGACAAACGAAACCCCCATAGATTGCAATTACACGCGTGGCGGCGCGCGCGCGCGCGCACGCGGTGGAATTGCCGGTTGAAAAATTCGCGTGGCCGCGCCAGCAGCAACGGTAGTCGCAGTCAAGTAGAGCGTGTTCGATGTTTCCAATGTGGAAAGGCGATACGAGCATTGGTGCTCGAATTGCCGTTACGTTATTTATGACGGGAAAATTTTGTGTGCATCTCGCGGAAGGTTGCATCTACGCGGAGGGTTGATTCGCCAAGTGTACAAAATTAATTTCCCTTAACGGCGCAACTATTCTTTGTAACGGATATATCACGAGCGCGTGATCTGCCAATTGTAATGAAAGCGCAGCTGCTGTGTAAATTCGAAGATATTGTAACATATTTGTTAATATAGAATGCTTATTAATAAAAAATATTCTTTAATAAAATTATACCATATGTTGAAGTAGTGTATGTTAAATGCAATGCGAGTTACAAGAATGCACTTCACTAAAAGTGTGAGATAATACGTAAGATAATATATAAGATAAGATAGATGTATAATACGAAAAAATATAAAAAAAGTATTAAAAAATAAATATAAAAGAAATATAAAAGAAATTTTTTAAAAAGTATAAAAATATAAAACATGGAACATATTGATATGAATAAAGTTCGAATTTTCTATATTTTGCTCAATTTACTGCCACGCTTGTATTTAATATAACGTTCTGTCAATAAGTTTCCGTAAAACATAAAATTTTAATCAAACACTTTATTTTACGTTCTCACATTTGGATGATCTACTTTCACGTCAATCCCACGAACTCGTAAAGACACGTAAACGTCCAAGTATGTTAAGAATCAAAGTGCTCTCTTGAGGGGTTCCGGTTTGAAAGGTCTCTTTCGGCCGGGATAATGGTACTGTGATCATGATAACGAAAGAAAATCTTGTATGTAGCAATTGTTTCCGTCGTACCTTTAAAACCGATGGATAATCTACGGGCTGCCTGTGTCGGACTGCGAACGAACTTTGCGCGTGTATGGTACCTCAGGAGCCCGTGCACCTGACACTGCCTGACACGACGAAGGTTGTGGTGTGACTGGCGTAAGACGTAGCCCGTCGAACGGTACTTACCTACCTGAGCAAGTCCCCTGACTTTGGAGCGTTGAAGCCGGCAATATACAATGCACCGCCAGCGCGCTTTCGACTCGATGCAGATCCCTGCACCACGACCGGAATATTATCACTTGCGTGATTTCTCGCGTTTTTGCTCCGGAAAGCTTCGAAGCATTCTCGAGACCGCGTTTGGATTTTTGTTTGACGATGCGGCATACATCAAGCGTTTAAAAATCTCGAACAACTCTGCGACGTAATTTCTCAAGATAGATTAGCATTTTTCTGAAAATAGATAAATTTTGCACTTATTATTGTACAAAATTATTCTATTTTTAGCAATTAAACATATGGAGAACCTAATTGCAAATTTGTTCAACGCCGAAGATTTAAACAAGTAAATTTTACGAATAAATTTTGCGGACAACGACATATTGAAACAGATAAATTCAGAAAGATTTTACCCAATCTCTCTAAGATTATTGTAGAATTTATAAGAATTTCTATATTTCCATAAATACATATGATTTTCTCGTGACTCAACTATTTTTTTGTATTATTTAGGAATATGATAATTGTGTATACATTATATTCATTATGTGCAGTTCTTAATAATTATAACTGTTTATAAGATGATTCTTGCATGACAGTTGATAATATAATACGGTCTATTAACGTTAAATACGTTAGACGACTTTAAATAAACATCTGATGTTCCCATTTGATGCGTACATTATTAGCCTCGCAATACCATGAACGATCTAATCGACAATATTCCGCCAATAATGCCAATTGCAATGAATGAACGTTTGGAAATGCGGCAGTGAAAATTACCGTTATCGAGATCGGGTTAGCTCTGCCAGTTTATCCAGGTCGCGGTATGTAAATTACAGCTGCGTAAAATGTACTTCCTTTCTGGAATTCCCCGACGAAATATCTTACGACTCAGATAGTGGAATTCGGGTACCGAATTGGAATAGAAATCTCACCAGATAAGATAAAAAAAATATCTCACCGTTCCCCACTCGACTAAAGTCGCTGTACACAGATTTCAGTAACTACCGTTTCGAGGAGCAGCAACATTGCTTCGTGGTAAAAACCGGCTTTGATACAAATACACACAAAAGTCTCTTTCGGCGAACAGTCGATGACCCCGTGAAGGATTAGGGAACGCGTGCGTTCGGACGAAGGTATTATACCGGCCTCTTCCACTCCAGGTGCCAAGGTCATCTCTGTGCACTGCGGTATAACGTGAAGCGATCTGCGATGATAGAGAGAAGGGACGTTCAACCGGTTACGAGCTGTGACTTGATGCCGATTTTTGAATAACCGACGATTATAGCTCGTTGGTATTCCATCCTGTTTGCTCCGCCCGAGGTCTAATTGATTCCCCTCTTCCATGTTAGAACAACGAACTTCTAACGTTCTCGATAATGAGACCATGTGAGATTTTTTTTTGAAGCAGCAAAAGGCAATCTTGCAACTAACGTTTGTCTTTCTATAAAACAAAAATACGATGTAGAAAACGCGCGGTACTTCACGCACTAATGTAATGCAATATTTTATATATACAACTACGTAAAGTTAGAATTTAATATTAAAATATCCGCGAGCTAGCAAAAGAGAGAGAAGCGTTGTACATTCTTGATTAAAGAAAAATTGTATACCGCAGTAAATACATCGCAATATTTCAACATCTCTGTTTTACTTCGGGATATGGCTTATTGTTAGATTCGCGTTTCATAAATAAGAAATTAGAGAGGGAATTCTTTTTCCGTCAACGTTGACTTACAGATATACCTACGTGTATTTTTTATGAGAGACAGAAGATTTTAAAATTCAAATAGTTTTACAAGAAAGAAGAGAAGACCTGCGATCAATATAATATCCGCGCGTCGCTTCACCGCGTACCTCAAGGTAGCGGTTTTGTAGATTGCGACATTCGTATAGAGCGCGCGACCTTTTTCAAAGAAAAGATCTCTCCGCTACATTCCGTTGTGTCTCAAGAAAAGTCAGCGCGGCTGCGAACGGTCGCACGCGAATAAAAGATGCAATACTTACGGCGGTATCTTCCGAAAAAAGTCGAGACTTCTTCCGCGTGCCTCGCCTTAAATCTGACGAGCGTATACTCGCGACAGGAGTTCACGGATTCGGAATGATCTTCCATAAAGACATTACTGTGACATTGTCAGTGCACAGATTTGCTCTTAGTTGCGTCGGTATCTGGCCTGTGAGGGAGAAAAATATCTTTATGGATCTCAGGTGGATCATCGCAGTATTTTTAGAAGTAAGTATTGTTAAATGGGTCATTGATGCTAAATCATGTAACATTTCTTTGCATAAATTTTAATAAGTTATTAATATTATTTTAATATTAGAATTATTTTATAATATTAAAATATTTTTGCAGGGTGCTCTTAAGCCAGTAAATATCTGTAAATTTTACTTTTATGTTTTAATTATCTCATTTGTCTACTTGCACTTGCGTTAACAACATAAATTTTGTATTATATATCCACAATATAAATAAAAATAAATTTGACTCTTTTTTGATAATCTATTTTTCATGACAATCTCTTATTTTCTAGGTAGTTCCGATGTGCCTCTATTTCACTGAAATTTATTTGCACTGTAACGGAGCAAAAAGCTCTCTTGACTCAGTGAATACCGGTGCCGCCGCCTTATTAGCCCTTACAAGACTAATCGCACCTCGTGTCCACCGAGAGGAATTACTCGAGATAGTCACTTCCATAATGGACGATTGGGCCGTGCAGAAGGATAAGAAAGTTCGTTGGGTCATGAAGAAATACGCGACAATGTCGACACGCGTGACGGTGCTTACCTTCTTTCTCGTGAGCATCATAGTGAGTACTTATATCACTATGGCGATATCAGCGATCACCGTGAAAACGGGCCAGCTCGATAATGAGATCGACAATGTGAACGTGAGCCACGAGAACGGAAGTCAGTCTTGTATGTTTGAAAGCGCGTCGTCGCGTCAGGCGTTTCTGGTCATTCAAGCGATACAGATGTTAACCACTGGTATACTAACTTTCGGTACCACCAGTTTCTTCTTCGGACTGGCCATGCATCTGTGCGCCCAATATGACGCGTTGAGTATAAAACTATCTGAATTCCGAGTCAGCGAGGCACGTCGCGCGATAGCCGAAGCGGTCCAAAGGCACTGTCATCTTATCCGACTGGCCGAGTGTATGGAGGAATCGTTTAATGCGAGCGTTTTGATGTATTTGTTCGTTACCAGCACTCTCATGTGTATAGATGGTAATATGCCTTTAAATATAGAAAATTATTATAGTTAAAGATTGTTTTCGCACACGAAGCTAAACTTCTGATCGACGAGATTAAATTTCAGTTTAAGTCGTAAGATAGTACGCGATTTAAAAGTAAATTTTTTAACAAAATAATAAATTAATATAGATTAATAAATTGTATAAAATTAATTGACTTGTTTATTACAAACTAAAAAGTTAACATAATGCCAACCTAAGATGCAGATGTATGTACGATAAAAATTTTAACGTGCTTTTATAGGTTTATATCTTCATATTATAAATTTTTGAAAACAGAAAATTAATTATTTTGTAAAAAACAAAGTGTTCTCAAGTAAGTGTTCTTGAGCCTATTTCAAGTTTTATTAAAAAAAAAAAAAAAACACTTAGAGCCGACTTTACCGTCTTCGATTAACTTGATCCTCCGATTAAACTCTTCGTCTCTTTCTAATGTTTATTTCTATCAATGTAGATTAACTTTAATCTCGGTTTTAACTTAGGTTTTATCTCCTTCTAATTCTCAGAACTAAAGAGAGATACAAAGTAAATTAAACCGAGATTAAAATTAATTTATATTAATAGAAATAAATATAAGGGGGAGTTATAAGTTAGAAAGAGATGAAGAGTGAGTTCGGAGGATCAAGTTAATCGGAGACTGCAATGTAAAATCGGCTCTTAAATTCTAATTTGCAATGACATTTTAACGTGGCTGAGATTTATTTAATTGTTTGTAATCTTTGTAATACAATATCGAATCTCGTAATATATGTTCCAATAAAAACTGCATGTTTTTAATGTGATACATTTGATAATGTGAACATTTTCTAGGGTACATGTTAATCGCATCGTTACCTCTCGGCAATCTACATATGATTATACATAGCATTAGTGTTTTACTTCTTATGCTGCTCCAACTGTCGTTCTACACGTTCGCTGGCGATTACTTGGAGATGAAAAGTGCCGCATTGTCTTATGCCACTTATGACTGCGATTGGTTCGAACTGCCAGCTAGTATAGCCAAGGATTTTCACATTATTCTAATGCGAGCCAGTATTCCTCATCAATTGACGGCCGGAAAATTCATGGTCATAAACATGGTTACGTTTAAAGATATCTTAAAGTCCACGGCGTCGTATCTTTCGGTCTTGCGTATTATGTTAGGTGAATAAACAATATATATTATCCAGTTGTTGAAGTTGCGCAATATTGTCGATTACATTCCCTCGCGATAGTTAAACCTTCATAAAGTTTGTAAATTAATTTAAAATAAAGTTTTCAGAGAGTCGTATTTTAATTTTAGAGATATGCATGGAATATCACGATATTCTGATATAAAAGTTTCCAATTTGTCTTCAACAATACACGATATATTTTATATATCCCTCGTCTTTTCCGTCCCCTTTCAGTTACTTCAACGGTACAGAACGATAGACTGAACGTTTTACGTAAACGTATACAAAATCGTACGATGCTATACGTTACCTGTATGTTTCGATTTTAGTTATAGAACTCTACAGCATAAGAACTGCGGTGCACTATTAATTTTCGTATTTCCTTTTATGTTTTTGCCATGATGAAAGAGATGCATGATTGTACCGCGTTGCATACCACAAATGCATATTCGAGCAAAGGCACTCTCGCTAGAAGCTGTAATCGGTAAAAGTTCAAAAGTGAAATAGTCTTCGACTGCAAAGCGACGCATCCTATAGAGTATAGAAACATATGTGATTTTGTTCTGTCAATTCCGTTTCTGCGCGGCGTAACACACCGTTTCTCGCGTGAATAAAAGATCAAAGAAGGGTGCCTCGCCCTCGATGGCGTGGGTAGTAAGATGGCTTTGCTTGTTGCGCGCCTTCATAGTAAGTTTGGAGTTCAGTCAACGCACAGTGAAGAGAAATCGAATAAACGTTATCGAGAGAAACGAATATCAGTAATTTCATTCGACTTGTGCGTGATAATTGTTCGCAATTGAAATACTGATTTTTGATTCTTGATTAAATCAACATTTAAAAAAGTACATTTAATTTTTTCATTATTAAAGTGTATTTTTATGTATTTGTAAGTAAATTAATATTGCGATGATAAGAAGTGCATTTCTTTAAAATATTGCTGTGTTTCGATATTAACTCGAATTAAGTTTTATAATTGACATTGCTTTGACTAAGATCTTGGTGTAACATATGTGGAACATAAGTACATATGTAGGCTTAATTGATTTTTTGATTAATTCTTAGAAAAAGATACGTAGAGATATTTCGACGATTCTGAATAATGAAGGAAGACTGGAACGACGAATCTCACTACGCCCTAAATGTTTACGAAAAAGTTCTTGGTATAATTGGAGTTTGGCCTTTGAATGCGGGAGAATTTAAATCCATCGCACGATGTTCCTTAGCCATTTTGATCCAGGTAAATATTACAAAAATAATTATTAACAAACTGGATAAAATTAAAGATATATACGAAGTATATTATTTTTTTATACCTTTGTCATTACTCCTGTATTACAGAAACCATTTTCATCTCTGGAAATGGTTTCTTGAACAAAAACACTTAGACATTTGTAAAACTTATGTGAGTAATAATTAAAAATAAAGAAATCGCGAATTAACGCGATTTCTTCGGCGATTAGATCAGTACTATTGGCAGCCTGTCTCTGGAAGCGTATCGGCAGTGTCTCGGTGCCGAAGACATGATGGAGGCTTTTCTAATGGACCTCTCGTCTCTCGTCAGTCTCTCCAAGCTTCTCGTCATCCGCCTCACTTGGAGGCACACTTACGTCCTGGTGACTTCTGTTATCGACGACTGGTCGGTGTCCCGGGACACGCGACAGCGGGAGGTGATGATGAGGTACACCCATGTAGGCAGGATTGTGTCCTTGACGATGTTGTATCTGGGCTACGCATCGGGCGTCTCGTTCCTCTTCAATGCCGTATCGTTCGACAGTTTGATACCCTGGCTAAATGTCTCCAAGGCTAACGATAACGATAACGATACGGTTGTGACTACATATTTCCTGGCGACTTATTGCGTCTTCGGATCGCTGCCGACAACTACTTACAGCTGCGTCTTGCTGCTACAAGTGGCGCAGATCTTCGTCAATGCCACTTCGCATTGCGGAAACGATGGTTTCTTCTTCGGTCTGGCGATGCACCTATGCGGGCAGTTCAAGATACTGCAAATGGACTTTGCCAGCATCGAAGTAGAAGAGCGAACCTGCAAAAAGAGGATACGGATGTTAATCGGCAGACATTGCCATTTGATAAGACTGACTGACAGTTTCGAGTACGCATTCAACATGGCCATTTTCACACAGGTGTCAATGAGCGTGCTGCTGCTTTGTGTGGAAGGTATTCCGTTTCGGTATTTTTTTAAATTACATATATATATATATATATATATATATATATTCTTTACTATCCACACTATAACTACAATATAAAATACAATAACTTTTGCTTGGCAAAAATGATTGTGCTTTATGTTTTTGTATTAGAATTTACGATATTAGCTTTATATAACAAACATTTAAATCATTAATAGCAGATATTTCTATTGTAATTTAATAAAATATATTTAATTTTGACGCGTTTTAATCGCATATTGCATATTGGATTTTACTGTTCTTTTCTCTTATATAACTGGAGTTTTCGCCTTTCGAAAGCTCTAAAAATTATAAATTAAATACTTGACATGTTAATATTGCATCTGCTCTAACAAAGAATTTCAGAACTTATTGTTAGTAAATAAAATATTAAGTAGAAAAAAATAATAACAAAAACATTATAAAATAAGAAATCAAAGGATGGCAAATAAAATCTCTTAAACTAAAAAAAAGCGAGCATGCCTAAATTTGCCGAATCTATTATAAATATTTAAAATATCATTATAAGCCAGAAATTTGCGTCCTAAAAAATTAAAGACTTTAAATCTCAGAAATAAAATATATGATTCTTGTTATTATATATTGCATATTATTAAAACATTGAAGTGTTACATTGTGTCTCTTTGTAATAATTTAAGATTTATTTTCAGGTATGCAATTGACAATATCATTGAAGTTAAGTGATAACGTCGCAGCAATAAAACACGTTGTCTTGATTCTAACAATGCTTGTGCAACTGTATCTCTATTGCTACGCTGGCGATCAGTTGGAATACGTAACCGGAAGGATCGCGTACGGCGCTTATGACAGTCCGTGGTATAATTTTGATGTAAAGGTAATGAAAAACCTGCGTATGGTGATGTTTCGAGGAAGGATGCCGCATCGAACGACAGCCGGGAAATTCCTACCGATGAATTTATTTTCATTTAAAGAGATTTTGAAAGCTACAGGCTCCTACCTTTCCGTTCTCAGAGTAATGATAGATGTGTAAAATTGATATTGTCGGCACACGATGACACGATTATAAATTATAACTGATACCTTCAATGCAATATTTCCTTCCTTCGTTTTCTTCGGTCTTGCATACGTGAATAGTTCGATATGTGTCTGGGTGCGACATTGATTAATATATTTTGCCAAACGTTAGGTAAGAACATACCACGATTAAAGTTCGAATGTTTGTATTTATACCACGTTATAATAAATCGCGCAAAACGCACAATATTACTCGACAATCATCAACATGATAATATATAATTAATTCAAGAAATGCTTATATATATTGTTGACTTATTTTTTATTCAAAATAGTTTTAGAATAATTTTTTCCTTTTTCGGAAAAATCCAAAGCCCTAAAAATGTATAACTATAAATTATTAACAATAATTTATTTAAAAAAGGGTTTATTCTAGCATTATTTAATATGTAACGGTCGGATCATAATGTAAGAAAATGATAAATATTAATATAAATATAAAATAAATATAAAGATAAATATTAACGTCACAATTCTTAGAATACACCATTACAATTTTTTTACGTAAAGTTTATCTTTTTTCTTTTCCCTTCTTATGTTTGAATCTATCTAAAATCATATACGATTTTAAAGATTCGTATACGAATCTTTCCCCAGTGAGGGCAACAGTTTCGTGAGATCACTTAGGCAGCTATTTGTATATTTTTTATTTATCGCGAAATATAATATTTAAACAGCTATAGGTAAGTCTAATAGATATCTACAGATATTAAGAGGCACTGTCGAGGACAATGTTGAGTTGCGTATTATTTCTAACCATATTATTTGTACAAATACGAATGCAAACGAATGCTATACTTGCATTCTCCAAGAAAGTCACGAAAGCCGAAGGTATGAATAATAAATTAGAAAAAAATCCAGGTGGTCGGTTGCACCACGGAAGGGTTGCTTAAGTATTGCAGGTAACAAATCGAATATTGAACGATGCGGTTATTGCGGAGGGCGGGAGAAACAATAGACAAAGAACAGCAGCCGCTTTCAAGGAATAACGATTTGAAGAGAAACTTGAAACATTCAGTGTAACAGTCGGCAGACTAGATAATAAAGATCTTACGCAATTGTAAAATTTTAAGTGCTCGAGAATGGGATCAAGTACGGAATGGAATACTGACACTGCGCATATTTTGAATTTTCATAAAAATTTTCTTGGTATAATTGGACTCTGGGTATTAGATGATACAAATGTATTCTCGAGGATTCGATGGTTTTTATCGACGATAGTGGAAGTAAGTTATGCTTCTTTAATGTAATTTGTATTCTTACATATTTGCGTATAAGTATTTGAACTGAATTTGTTTCTTTCATCTCATTAAACAAAGTATTATGTTAAATTTTAGTTTATTTTTATATATTGTATATATATAATATATATGTATATATATATTTTGCCTTACTAAAAAGATATTTTGTTATACATTTATTAAATAATTATTAAACGTTATATGTATAGTAAATTATATATATATTTTTTTAAATAAAATAAAAATACATTTATATTGAGACGCAATATCTCTATTTCATTTTCATGAATTAGACGAGTACATCGATCACCATGTCACTAGAAATGATTCGACATTGCAATGGCCATGAGGATGCCATGGATGCTTTTGTACAAGGCTCATCGTCAATATCTAGTGTGGTAAAACTGCTTTTGCATCGCGTATATTGGAGACAAAAATTTATTTTGGTAAAATCGGTTATCCATGATTGGACTTACGTGAAAAATTCTCACTCTCGCGACATCATGATAAAATATGCGCGCTTAGGTAAACTAGGCTCCTCGATATTCTTCTATTTCGGTTGTGGCTCGTTCATATTCCTCGTTTCCACTGTCGTGTTTGACAACATCGATTTGTCTTCTGAAAAACAAATTTTTAATGAAACGTACCAAAGAAAACTTATATTAACGGCCTATTGCGTCTTTGGAAAGTATACATCTTCTTTCGCTTACTGCGCCATTGGAGCTTTACAGTTCGTGCAGTTTGTCGTTAACGTCATTGCGCAGTGCGGGAATGACGGGTTCTTCTTCGATCTCACGATGCACATGTGCGGGCAATTTGCAATTCTCCAGATGAATTTTACTGAATTGGGTTGCGAAGATTTTTCCTACCGCACTAAACTCGCCACCTTGTTGAAGAGACATTATCAACTTATGTATTTGTCGCATTATTTAGAGAGAACATTCACCCTGGTCATCTTGGCACAAGTTTTTATGAGCGTCCTTGTCCTGTGTGTCGAAGGTAGACATATTTAACGTAAAAGTATTTTAAATAAACAATAACCAAATTTATATTTGTAAACTTTTCGAAATTTATATTGTTACTTATTCCATGTCATATACAATACATATACATACATCATATATCATATATGCATATGTATGTATGTATATATGTATGTATGTACATTTATGTATGATATAGAATAACTAATAAATGTAAATTCCAAAATTTTTACAACAAAAAGTTAAACACATATATATATATATATATATCTATATCTATATATATATAATTCAATAATGTTCCGACTGACTCATCAACGCCTAGCCCAAACTTCTAAACCTAGAAACATGAAATTTGAGGACTGTATTCCTTCCATGACGTAAGCACTCAATAAGAAAGGATTTTTAGAAATTCGACCCCTAAGGGGGTGAAAAAGGGTAAAATGTGTTTTCATGACTTTCTCAATATCTCTTGGCTCCGATGAGATATCGACTTGGTTTTCGCTTACAAAGGTTATCCATACAAGTGCTTAAAAACATAATTCAAAATTTTGCCCTAATCATCTATCTATCTATTTATCTATCTATATATAATCAAATGTTTCTACTGACTCATTAACGTCCAGCCCAAACCCCTACGTCTAGAAACATGAAATTCGGAGAGTATATTCCTTCTATGACGTAAGCACCCACTAAGAAGGGATTTTTAGAAATTAGAAACCCCCTAACGGGGTGAAAAGGGGTAAAACATGTTTTCAATATCTCTTTAGGCCTGTTGATATGTTGATTTGGTTTTTGCTTACAAAGGTTACGCATACAAGTCCTTAAAAACATAATTCAAGATTTTGCTGCAATCAACCCCTAAAGGGGCAAATCTAAATTCGGGGGTGAATTATAGAATCCTTCACATACCGTAGCGAAGCACGGGTGTATCAAGCTAGTCATATATACATATATTGCAAATAAATAACAAAGACTGTGTCAGAATTAGGCTTATATTTCTAACTATTTTAAATTTATCACTAATTATATTTAATATTGTATTGTTGTCAGGTTTTCTTTTACTTCTCTCGCTTGAAATAAACGATACTTATGCCGCCGCAAAACATAGCATCTTTATTGTCGCACTACTGGTGCAACTTTTTCTCTATTGCTTCGCTGGGCAGACATTGGAGTTCCAATCGGAAGAATTGGCATATGCAATTTATAAATCTCCATGGTACACTTTTGACCTGAGCATGATGAAAAATTTACCACTAATAATTCTTCGAGCAACTAATCCTCAGCAACTAACTGCAGGAAAGTTTGTAGCAATAAATTTGATGACTTTTAAGGAAATTTTGAAGGCTTCCGTCTCGTATTTATCAGTGTTAAGGGTAATAATCAAGCGATAAGTAGAAATTCTTTTAAAAGAAAAGTAGATGGTTTAGTTTTTCTTTTATATAAATTACGTTATCTATATAGCTGATGTCTGTTAAACAATTGTAATTAATTGATAAGTTTTTTCTGTAAATGATAACAAATAAAAATATGTAATTTGACGGAATGGCAAAATTGCATTAAAATTATATTTATTGGGAGTTATATAAATACAAAAAACATTAAGAACATGTATAAAAACCACGTTCAAGTAATGTGTAATAATGCAAATAAAAATTAAGAAAAATTTGTACTACAGTAATTACTTATAATATTATGTACGCATAGTGTTTATTAAGTTTATTTATTGTGACGGAATGAACATGTGAAATTATTACTTGGAATGAAGTTAATAGCTTCACCAAATGCACCGCTTGCGCTGTTTCTTAGGAATGACTACGAAAGTTAGGGAAGGTGTGTAAAGACATGTACACCGACCTGTTTTCGCACTTATTTTCCTGATTTCTTGGTCCTAATCGCTAATATCTGTTGCTTGTTCCTTATATTTTTCATTGTGCGAGGGCCTTTACACACCCCTCATCCATAGTGGCAGCTTATGCTCCGTCTATATATGTCTATGAAACAGACTTAATTATAATATATTTTATTAAAAATTTAAGTATTCACACTCACACGCAGTTAACACTTTGAACACGTTCGTATATGTCTTAAAATAAAATGTTTATTTTTAG